TGGTACAATTGAATTTATAATGTGCTACTTTTACCACAATACTTATGCGACTTGAACTATAATGTGATATGTTTTTCAGGATGTGTTTTGGAAAGCTCGATTAAGTTACTTTTATGATGAAACCAAATTTATGATGTGTTTAACTTTGAACATTAGTTTAGCTATTTAACAAGGACTTATTAAGCTAAACTACCTCCATATTCTAGTCTAGTTTCTCCAAATACCATGCACTGGTTTGATCGTATGCTTGCTACTTAACTCACTACAATTCATTGGATTAATGAAGAAAGAGAGGTATATGGCTGAAGGTAACGAAACAAATGAAAAGAAAGAAAAAGGGGAAAGATCTTAATGTGTTTCATTGATAACTTTATGAATTGCGTGCTGAAAGTGTTGAATTTGTTAATGGTCTTGTGACTGTTAAGTAGTCTATACTAGTTCTCTGTATAAGATTTTTTTTTAAAATAATGTTTGATATGGTGTTCTTTATATTATGATCTGTGGAAGGGAAAATTGGGAATGATGCATGGAAGTATGCTATGTTGTTAAATCTTTAAGTCATGGATTGTATGCCATGTTTGGACAGTTTAATGGCCAATTTGAACATAACACATCAGTTTGCATCGAGTGAGAAGTTCATAATTTATCAATATGATGAAATCGCTTATTATGCTACATTCACTAAACTCACATGTGAGTTTCACTTATTGATAATATACTAGATTGTTGATTTGTTATACAATTTAGTTTCTGCATTCTTTTTGAATAATTTGTAGGGTCGTCATCTGTAAATTGATCAGGGGGAAGAATATATATTGCTTCCGTGGAACAATTATCAAAAACACATCCTGTTCGAGAACAACTAAGCGCAGCAAATCAAAGTTGTGGAAACTCAGGTAATCTAATTAACCTGTTCATAAATCAATGCTCAAGTATAATCACCGGTCATGTTATTTTTGAGCATCTGTAATGCTCCAGTGACAAGGATTGTATATACATGCCTATGACAATATTACAAATGATTAACCACTTAATCAAAAACTGAGATTAAGAGGTCAAGTGTAATAAATGATAAAACATGTGCATTTACTTCATACTAGAGGGGTATACCAAAAGACATTTAATGACAAATTGTTGCCTATCAATGTATGGTATTCATATTGCACAGCATATAACTGTAAGAGCTGCGTCTTTTTATTATATAGGGTGACTTGATATGGGACTTTGCACTTTGCATATATTTGAGTTATTGTCAAGCCTGGTAAATGATGTCTTAACAATGATTGACGAGTACATTAATATTATTGCTTGAATTGCAACACTTACTTTTCAGCAAATTAGATTGCCAATATTTTTTCTTTCACTAATTGTAGTGTAGCTGTACAAATCGTTTGTCTTTATAGTTCATCCGAGTATATGTATATCTTGTCTTTAAATATTATGTGACTGCATTCTATTATTACGTACACATACTCACAGTTAATCAATATTTACACAAACAATTAGAAGTCTTTGATTTTTTGTTACTTGATTTGTATTTTCTATGGAGGTGAACATACTTTACATATGGATTTTTTTTTTAGGTTTAACTGATGACCATAGGATGGACAATCCAATAACAAATGAGCATACACAACAGCAAAGAGAAGAGGTCACAAGGGAGCTTACACCTATTAACAATGATCCGCAAAATGGGGGAGCTAAAAATACCTCCAAGAGTAATACTAGCTTTATTTTTAGGTATAGATAGTAAACTATTAATTTCTTTTTGTTTTAACCTATTTTAGTGACTTGGTAAATTTTATAAAAAGGGACCAGAGGACCAACAATGATGCTCGAAATTTGGGGCCAAGATCCTACAGAGGGCCTTATTCAGGTTGATTTTGATCCAAGTGTAGAAGTTAACGGACTTCCAATAAGAGTTAATTGGTGTCAAGTTGATATTGAAGTGATTATTGTTCCTGATGCGCCATTAATTCAGGGTTATAATCATTACGTAAGTGTTCAATATGCACACGGTGATTTGGTTGCTTTGCAACTCTATTTGGTGAGTATGATAAAACTTTCAAAAGTTGATTATGCAAATATGTTCATGAAGTGAACTCTTATATTACGTACTCATTTTGCACCTGATTTTGCAGGTAACACCAGTTTAGCAATGTTCCTTCATCATTTAGTCATCATGAAACTCAAGATAGATTGAATGGCATAGTTTCAGTTAAATGGGTTATTATTAGTTGGATGATGTATAGTTTTAGTTCAATCATGGGTTAAGATTGGCAATCATTAGGAGCCTAATAAGTATTAGATTTGTAGTTGTATTTTTTTTTTTAGTTTTTATTTTTTTTGTAAATAGATGTTAATCTACATTCGTGTTATGTACATTGGATTAATGTACGAACAAATGATTTCATAATATATATTATGTTTCTTGAATATGAAGTATTTATTATGGTTTTTCTTTTCTTTTAAAGTCTTTATATTTTGTACAGTTTCGTGAATAGCAAATTTCTTAATTTGCAAATTTATTTTTTTCTATATTATAAAATAGGTTGCATTGTATCTTGGCACTTTAAAATGCCTTTATAAAATGATTTATTATGGCACTTATAAATAGTTAAGCAGTAAAACTTTAATTAGATATAATGACACTACATAGTAAAAAAGTTATGGCATAATAAAATAGTTAAATAGTAAAAGTTAATATAAAGTAAAAAGTTCAATAAATTTTCTGAGATTAAATGGTAAAAAAAATTATTAAATAATAAAATAAATAATTAATTTAGATGATATTTTAAATTGTCATGATAAATCATTAGACCTATGGTGACATGGGTATATACCACACAAGTGGTCAATGCCTTTAAAAGTTTCATGTCACCATAGGTTACTTATGAAGACACTATAGAGTGCCTTTATATTAGTTTTTTCTTGTAGTGAAACCAAGATCCTTGTCACTGGATCTGCAATTAACCTTAATTACTTCAGGAGTACTTAAAATTATTCATCACATGTACTTCTACATCCGCATGAGTAAACCCTAATTTGAGGATACCCAAAAGTACTAGTAAAAGGAAGTACTCAATATAAGTTTTCATGGATCTCTTGCTATACTCTAGTGGAAATTAAGAATGATAGAAATCAGAGGCAGATGACAAAAATGGTGTGTCTGTTTATTCCGAAACATAGAAGGCTCTATTTATGCAAGAAAAATGAGCTCCCTTCTGAAATAACCAAATCATCACATTTAATACCAAAATCAACTTATATCAATTCAAATCACTAATTAATATCACTTCTTCAAAAAACTAGTTAATATCTAATCAGATCAACAAAATCATTCTAACAAATAATGTGTTTTTTGTCAAGTACTCTCAAGAACATCAAAATTTCTAGATTCACCTTCGGGTTAATAAACCGTTGCAGTTAATATGTAATTGTGCTTTAGATAAAGCCAAATATTTTAAAGAGTTCATAATGATACCACTGATTTTCGATTGAGTGGTAGATATGAGTTTAGTAATGACTTTTGTGTGTGATTGCTTGGTTGACTATTATCTCTTCCTACAATTTTTCCTATTTTGATCTTACACTAGATTTATTCCAGAGCATTGCTCAATTGGAAAGTAAATTATAAAATTACTGCATTATACTAAAAAAATACACTAAAATAAAAGGTATACAAAAATACGTACAACGTAAAAATAAAAGTTGATAATAATGTAAATGATCAGTCAACTTAGTTGATTCTCTATTTTTGACACAGAAAAATGATTTTTTTGGGGAGACTTTGGGAAGAAATAATCGCTCCAATTTTTATAGGGAAATTAAATATACGTGTCTTTAGATTTTTTTGGATTTTACAGGCAAAAATAAATTTAAAAAAATCATCTTAAAATTACACTAAAGTGCAATTCTAAACAATTTCATTATGTCCTTAATTTGCCACAAAAAAAAACTAATCAATTTAATTACATATTCTAAAAGTATTAATCATAACTTATAAAATATATTTAGATATTTTAACAAAACTAATCGTAATGAAGTAAATAACGGGATATATACTATTTTCTATATATAAAAGTGAAATGAAATCATAACAATTGATGTTTCAATTTTGGGAATAGTTGTGTGAACAAGATTATTGAAAACTTTTACTTTAAATTTCATAATCAGAATCTGTGTCTTTTTTGATTTTGTGATATTTGTCTTAAGTAATGTCACTGATGTATATGATCTGACCGAATATAATAAATAATTTTGACATCGAATGATGGTTATAAATTTAACCTAACCTAGTTACAATTTTCTTTTACATTTTAGTAAAAGACGAATAGAGTGATTACATGTGGCACATAACTTAAAAAATCCTCTCTAAGCAACGGGTAAAAATTGAAAACTTTAATTTAATATACATAGAGATTAAGAAAAAAAGGAAATGAAAAGAAAATGATATACATAGAGATTAAGAAAAAAAGGAAATGAAAAGAAAAGGAGTTCCATATCGAGTAAATAGACACCTTCACATCTCTCGTACGATGAGAATATTTCAAACTAAAATTATTTTCTTCAGCACAACCAAAATTAATGTTTCTAAAGCAAAGCAGATGGATTTAATTGATTTATAACCAGCCAAAGAACTCCCAGACGCCAACTCTTTCATCATAAATGCTACATGGAAATTTTTAAGGAATTTTTTGTGAGCCGAAATTGCTCGTTTTTTTTTTATTATTTTAAAGATCCACCCATGTGGATCCCACTTAAATGTGGGTAAAACTCCTCTTACAACCTTTGGTCGGAATCGAACCTTAGTCTATCACCAGAAAAGCCGAAATTGTTCGTTTACTATTACTTCTTTTTAAAAAAAAGAATAAAATAAATAAACTTTTTTTGATGTTATATTTAGCGTATAGAAGGAAGAAAAAGAAAAAACAATGAAGTATTCCTTTATTTTATTGAGAAAATTTTACATCTCTCGAAATGAGAATGTAATCATCAAACCATTTTCTTCAGCACAATTAAAATGCTTCTTAAGCGAACAAGATGGGGGATTTAATCTTACAGCCACCTGAAGTAGTCCCAGTAGCCAGTTACTTCATCAAACCCGAATAAGACACGTTGATCGCTAATCTTCCATCTGCAATTAGCGGCACATCTTTCCAAGTCTCGTCTTTGGTCGTAAACCGAAAAGCGTCGCCAGTCCTTCTCATCTCCAAATTTCACATTACACTCATACAATGTGGTGCCAAAATCGTTAGGAACTAAGAGAAAGTTGTATTCCTTGTTGAATTCAACATCATGAAATCCTAGATTGACCAAATTGGATTTGCAATTAACCGTAAAGACTTCATTAGGACTTAAATCATTCATCACATGTGCATTTACAACGGGATGAACGGCGTGATTAACCTCTAAATTGAGAGCAAAAAGTACTAAAATGATGCACCCGATGATATAAGTTTTCATAGATCTCATGAATTGAACCATTTCTTGAGATTAGTAGAAATAATGTGTTTTTCAGTAGAGGACATGAAATTTATAGGCCCAATTTGGTGTTTTTTTTTTTTTTTTTCCTCTCTTTAAATGGTGAAATAGTTAAAAGATATTCATTGCTTAGTTGACCAAAGGTTCAGTGTATTTATGAGTGAGTTGATTTGAACAAAAATAGATTATCAATATCTAATCTTCCACAATCTTCCTGCTTTGTTCTATCAATTGGCTCGTTCCAAAATGAGAGAGTCTTAGTCAAATAAAGTAGTTCAAGAAGTTCAAATTATTTATAAAAAAAAAAAAATGGTGAAAGAGAAGCTAGCGAACCAGTAAGTATTGCGAGGTTTAACGATCAAAGATTGAGACCACCGAATGGGGTAAAAAGTCAAGAATTGAATTGAGACAAGACATAAATAATAGCTGTCCACAAGGCATCTCAAAAAGTGACTCTGAAATTTCATAAAGATACCGTATGAGACGATGCAATTGTTTGAGTCTTATAGCAGAATGTATTGATATACACACATATATATACGAACTCAAAACCTGTATGCTCCTTAAAGATCTAAAAGGGCAAGTAATAAGCAATGATGCATCTGTACTTAAGTTGTAAACGTGTTTTTTCAACAACGGTTAGAAGCGTACCCAGCAACGAGTGCATTTGGCAATGCAATCTCCTTTACAATCTACGTTGTAACCTAGAACCTTTGGATTCCGGAGGAGGAGGTTTTTCAGAGTTTTTCCTTCAATCCCCCATTCTTTCTCCAACAGCTTTACATTGTTCTCCAATTCACCTTCAAGGTCACAACCAAGAACTTCTGGGAACTTCTTCAGAATTTTGCCAATCTCAACATCCGTGAGGTTTAAGCTCCTCAGGTAGTTCAGTACATTATTTACAGCATCAACTCGTGGAACTTCCTTCGCGCGTTCTTCACTCCAGAAAGGGGAATGAACATAACCAAATGCTTTTCCTAGTACCTTGTTTTCCTCCTCGGCACTAAATTCAAATGCGGACAGAGCTCCTCTGCTAGCATCCCAAGATTTCTGTTCCTCATCACTTAAAACAATATCCTCAACTTTTGTTGTTGCATGTACTCCCCACTTTCTTGGTATAGGCTTTCGAATGGTTCTTGGTGTAAAATTGATCACGAAAGTAGCATCATTGAGTAGACTGCTAGGTACTAGTGAAACAGAATCAATCTGTGAAGAGCAGGGCTGATGTCAGGATTAAGTCAGACAATAGAAGAGCAAAATAACACAGTACATACAGTAAGGGACTATTACATCAAGAGCACTAGATATTGATAGAGACCTAAGAGATAGAGCAGGAGTAGTAACAGTCATGGCTCAAAAATGTAGTCACAAGCTAGCAAATGAATGCCTTCACTCTTACAGCACACATACCTAGAGTTGCATTCTCAATGAATTCATAGCATTGAGGCAGTGAACAATACGCAGGTCATAGAACATGCTTTGACTGTGGTTCACAGACATCTACGTTCCAGTAGTTTCATCGCTTTGGAGAGAAAAAATAAAGTTCAATTAAGCAAAATCTTCCCAAAACTTTAATTCTGAGCACATCCATAATCCATATTTTCTATCTTCCTTTACAGTAACAACTCAGGGAAGTACCTGATGCAAGTAGAATGTCGACAAATCTGCCATTCTAGTCCGGTTGAGCAAAACTATCACATGGGCTTTAACCATGGACGAACATTTTTTCAGGACAGGACACAGAAAATCACAATACCCACTCACATCACCTATACCAGATGTCTAGGAGTTGCACACACAGAGTTCCTCAAAAGAACATAATGTAACTGTGTGGGTGGTTAAGGCATATTTAATCAACCACCAGGATAATCAGACTACTGATTCTTATTATAGCTTTTGCAGCTCTATATTGTGGTGTACCTAGAAAAGTCCAACTAATACTGATGGTAGATATTACCATAGATTAGCTACATTGTAATGACAGAAGTTATTATTCATATCTTCACACACACCCACACTCTCAGCTTAAGATTCCCCCTCTCTTGATTATTTTTTTCTTGGAGAGGTTCGCTTCTCTGAGGTGACTTCAAGACTGATAAAATGACTTCAGCTTAGTGTGCAAGGCCCTCCACAAAAACAAATGGAACCCTTTCTCAGTCATCAGTTCTATGTTTTGGTTAAGCATTAAAATGTTAAAAGGTAAACAAAATATGGGTCTGAGAACTATCAATTTTATCCACAAAGCTACAGCAGGATGGACTTGCGACAAATTTGAATCAGAAGCCGACTAGTTACTTAGTGTTGAAATTGTTCCGGCATCTGGAAAATCCCAACTACCGGTTGCTACTCCACGTGTTCGTTTACTTTTCCTTCACTAGTTATGTAATGACAGGGTTTTAAAATATTAACTGGGAAGCAATAACTGTCCGAGGATAGTGAGTGACAGGTGATGAGAAAGGTAAGAGACACTATACACCTATAGATTCACAGGAAAACGTAAATCGAAATGACTCCGTTCTATATGCACAAGCTTGCCGCTCCATGAAAGCAATTAGGGGAGAACAGACACTTCAGTTAACTGATCACTGATTCACTCCAACAACATAGGTATAGGTGAACTTGTAGCTCCATAGATGCAATCCGAAGACAACAGAAACTGATCTCTGTTTGTTTAACTCAACAATTAAACAAACAGTAATAAAACATTATCCCAAGATATAATAAGTCAGCTACATAGTAGATTATATGTTGTCCCCTTCATGCACATTCTAAAAAATTTTTAAGAATCTGAATGTAAAAAAAGTTCTTTCCCCACTCTTTGTCAATTTGCACCTTTTCCGTTTCATTTCAAATTAAGGATTTTATTTCTGTTCATTGATTAGGTATATTCTTCATGATCTACAGACCGCTAAACATCAAAAATTACGATAGTTTCGAGTAAGCTAGCTTAAAGTATACGATATCTAGAAGAAATAATGTTGTAGCAACTAGGTGATTTTAAGTTTCAATAGGCACATACAGCTACTAACCAACACACTAGAATACACGTGATCAAGCATATTTTTGCATTTCTCTATTTGGACTGATTAGAAACATGCCTTTCCATCATAAACTGACAAGAAAACACATTATTTCGGTAAATAGAAAGGGTACTTCTTATGTTGTGGGGGCAAATTGTAGACTAAGCCAATATCCTTCACACATTGTAAGAAATTCAGACTTAGGATCGACCATATCTTGTAGGTTTCTAAAACAAAGGACACCTATTAAACCCAAGATGAAACAGTTCACCAAGTGGTGGCTCCACAGCATTCCCAGAAAAACCAAATTCTTCAAAATACAATTATCTTTTTAACAGAGAAACATGAATCTTTAACTCAGGCTATCAAAAATAATTATATGAGAAACTACTTGTGTCACTTAGATATGGAAAGTAAATGAAGGAAAATGGGAGAGTGGTCAAATATGTGGAACAGTTGCGATGCAGCAACTTGAAGTACATTTATGCAACATAACAGAGACGTCATCAAAGATCAAACAGTACATAGAGCTTTAATACCTGCGAGCACTTTTACTTTAAAATCGTGTGAATGAAATATCTCAGTATGATGCCAAGTGACGTTTCTTCAGAACACATACATGGGAAAGCAGAAGATACATTCATATCGTCGCAAGAGTATGAAAACTGTAAACATTTCATGCAGATTTCAGACTTCTTTCAAGACTTTGAGCTATATTTAATGGATTTTCTTTGATTCAACAGTTCGGCAAACTTCCGGAAAACAAGATTTCATGTGTTAATTATTTGTCAAACCACAGAACAACAAGGACAAAAGATGGCCATTTTGTAGCAGAAACAGACAGTGATGGTTTCAATAATCATTGCCATTCCTTCTTCATCTTTCAGCAACCTAACATGGTCAGAGGGTTCATACATTACAAGATTTAAAATAGTGCAGAGACGTAACAGAGAGAATATAGGGGTACAGTGTACATTATTAAACATACTGTTCTGGGCAGTCTGCGACTCATTTTTCCACTTTATTGAAACCAGTATCAGAGGAGGCTTGCTTAAGCTCCGTCGCATACTAACAAACAAATGTTTTGGAAACAGTTCTCAAAAAAGCATACCGCAAGACAATAATTTTATATCCAATATATTTGTGGAACTTCAAAGAACTTCGATGTTACACAAACAAGACAGCATGATCGTGTAATTAGTATGTCCATTTCTTCAGTCCTTTACTCCATTTCACGCAGAGAAGTAAGAAAGTAATTTATGCCTTCTTTTGTCTTTTCTTGGATGACTACAATAAGCAGAACAAAGTCTGGATTCTATAGTTCACGGCATATATCTAGAGTTTATATGTTTTCTCAGTAAATTTCATATCATTGAGTAAGTGAACAATACGCAGGCTGTAGAACATATATATATTGATCATGGTTTATAGAAATTCAGTTTCCAGAAGGTTCATCATTTGTAGGGAAAAATAAAGTTCAACGAAATAAAAGACCTTCACAGAACTTTAATTTTGATGCAAGTTTTCTAAGTCAGATAGGAGTTGTATAGCAAAGAAATGTAATAGTAAGTGGGTAGCTTTGTACATGGTTGAGCTTTATTAATACATTTTTTACCTTTTGCAGTGACTTTTATCTTCGTCTCTGGAACCTAACGCAGTAGAATATAAACAAATCTGTCAATTTAGTTCAGCAGGGCAAAACTATCTCGTGATTTCAACCATGGAAAACGCTTTTAAGGACAGGACACTTCTCATCAGCTGTACCAGATGTCTAAGCACAAAAAAAAAAAAAAAAAAAAGAAAGAAGATTATGGAAGTATATAATGATAGTTGTGTGGATAGATAGGGGATAACCAGGATGATTAGAGATTCTTCTTACCACCTTGCATATTACAGCTTTTCAGCTCTATACTGTCATCAAGAAAGAAAAGGCCCAACTGATACTGATGGCAGATAATACCATAGATCTAGCTAAATTGTAATGACAGAAGTTAGTATTCATAGCTTTAGTATTTATTTAAACTCATACACCCAAACTCAAAGACTGATTCCTCCACACTTTCTTTTTATTACTTTTTCCTTGGAGAAGTTCACTTCTCTGACATGGCTTTTTCAAGACCGATAAAAATGACTTCAGCTAAGTTTGTAAGGACCTCCACAAAAAAACTGGAACCATTTTTAAGTTTAAGATTCTATGCCACTGTTAAGCATTTAAAAAGTGGTACAAAGCAGCAATATATGGGGTCTTAACTATGAATTTTATCCATAAAGCTACAGCAGGATGTACCTACCACACATCGAATCAAAAGCCTAACTAGTTACTTTATTTTAACATTTGAGTGTTCAAATTGTTCTTGCATCTGATACAAGTCCCTACTAGCAGATGCCACTCGACCCCTTTGTTTACTATTTCTTCACTTGTTATTTAATGGCAGAGTTTTAAAACATTAAACTGGGAAGCAATAACTCCCAGAATAGTGATTGCAAGGTGATGAGAACGCTAAGAGACAATATACACCTATAGATTCACAGGAGAAGGTAAATTGAAATGGCTGCATTCTATATGCATAAGCTTGTCGATCCACAAAAGCAATCAGGAGATAACAGAAACTACAGTTTGGAAGAGTCAAGTTGGATGCATTTAACTGATCACTCATTTCACTCCCACACTATAGGTGTAGGTAATTTTCTAGCTCAGTAGATGCATTCAAAAGACAAAGGAAACTTCAGTTTGCATGAGAAAAGTTGAAGTTGATTAAAAGGCCACTTAACTTAAACAAACAGCATTAAGCCTTTATCTCACGATATAATTCTCATCTATATAGATCATGTTGTCCGTTCACGCACTTAAAAATTATGAAACTACGCGTCACACGTAAATATGGAAAGTGAAGGAAGGAATTGAGAAAATGGTCAAATATGTGGGATTATTGTGATGCAGCAACTTGAAGTACATTTATACAACATAGCAAAGATTTCATCATAAGATCTGTTAGCACTTCTGCTCTCAAATCGTGTCAATGAGATATCTCAGTACAATGTCAAGTTAGCAGTTTCTTTGGAATAAATGCACGAGAAAGCTGAATATATATTCATATTGTCAACAAGAGTGCGAGGACTGTAAACATTTCAACAAACTACATCTAATTGATCTTCTTTGATTCAACAGTTTGTTACACTTTGGTGAAAATAAGGTTTCCATGTGTTAATTGTTTTGACAGCAAATTGTACAATAACGACAAAAGATGGAATCTTTGTATTAGAAAAAGATAGTCATGGTTTCAACCATATGAAGTTATCCTAATATGGAACATACTGCAGGTGCCACTTCTTGCCCGTACATAAGAATATGAAGTAGGTGACTGAATGCGTATTCTTTAAACATAAAGATGTCATTCAGGTCTTTCCTTAACTATCCTATAAAAAATAACAAATAGGCAGGTACATTCCAATTCCTATTGGCTGTAGCCCCTCCCCAACTACTCATGATCATTGCCATTCCTTCTCAGCAACCCAACATGGGCAGAGGGTTCATAGACTTTAGGATCTAAAATAGTGCAGAGAAGTAACAACGAGAATATAGGCTATGGTGCGCCATATAAATTACACGGTTCTGAGCAGTCTCGCAGTCATTCACAACATCCTAATCAGTAAATTTTTTGGAAACAGTTCTCTCAAAAGCATAGCGCAGGACAATAATTTTTTAAATCAAATTCATTTATGGAAATTCAAAGAACTAAGATGCGATAGAAACAAAGAAAATTTAAACTCTTGTAATTAATTGTCCATTTTGCAACGTAAGAAAATTATTTATGCCTTTTTTTGTCCTTCGGGATGACAACAATAAGCAGACAAAGTCTGAATTCTATATTTTAACTACTAAACAACACATATCCGGACAGCATAATATAACTCCCTTCAAATCAATCCTGAAAATGGACAATGAAGAATATGCTCACCACAAAAGGATAATTCCAAGTACTTGACTTCAATATCAAGAATGGACATGGGTAAACTTTTGCCAGCATCCCTACATCAGACAGAAAGGATATAGTGAAATCGCAGAATGGAAGCAACTTCTGCATTTAGCTAAGCATCTACAGTAAATACAATTACAACATCGATAGGTTCGATGTGCTTCACCACAAGATCACTAAGAAAAACATCCTATTTCAGCCATGAAAGAGAGAACTGAATCAAAATTCTCATTTAATTTAATGATTCAATCATAAGTCACTTCTTCAAAACTTGTACCAGCTGACAAAAACTAAAGTCCAATGCGTCCATAACAATCATTAAGGGACAACAAAACATCAACTCTGGACTCCAAATGGCCTATATTAGAATCAGTATCCCAAGCGATTTTTGCACCAAACTAAACACAAAAGATTTAACGGAGAAAAGGTCAAGAAAATCCGAACTCAAACATGTATTAAAGGATCTTCCCCGAGAAAATGATTTCCGAAACAGCGTTTCTGATGCAAGGAAACAAAGTAAAAGCTTCTAAAATGCATAATTTAGCTATACCAGGAAAATACAGAGATAACCTACTCTTTTTCTGTGCATTTATAGTGAGGAGGGAGAAGAAGGCCATTCATGACTAGAGAATTAGGTATAGGAAGAACTATCACAACAGGCTCCGGAGACTAAATCGTCACAAAAATGGTGAAAATCCTGAACAAAACTAATTATGTGACCAGATCCCAAAGAGTAAAGGGCAAAATCCTTGTATAGATGAAACCTATTCCAGTTGTCATATCCTATTATATTTAAGTAATATAGAAAAAAAAAACTAGAGAAAAGAAATGCCCATACCGTTGTAATGGAAATTCCTCTTTTCTTCTCCTCAGGAGATTTGTCAATTTCATCAAAGGCAATGGCCTTAGCTTTTCCTTCTAGTGCCAAGACTTTCGTGTTTTATTGCTGCAGTCAATGTTGTTTTACCATGGCCAATTGTTCCAATTGTAAGATGAGGTTTGCTGCAGAGCAAAGACAAGATAATATGAATTTGATGGAGAAGAAAGAACACATCTCAATGAATCGGGGGAAAAATTGGCACATATACCCAAAGGTTGACATGCATTGTAAATTCTACCCTATTCTTTTTTGATTAACCAATATTACCCGAAATTATCCAACCTTTAGCCGATTTTGTCCAATAGGCCAATTTCCGTTTAAATTAACGGAATTCTGTTAGTTTTAATGATAAAAAATACCCTAATAGTTTTGGAAGTTATAAAAACAACCATAAAAATTTGTAAAAATAACCAAACAGTCTTTTTACACTTTGTATTTAATTTATTTTCTTTTCTATTTATTTTATTATTTCTCATAATATAAAAATATACAATAAAGTGAAAAACACAGCCCGGAGTAAGGGTCTGAGAACTATCAATTTTATCCAAAAAGCTATAGCAGGATGGACTTGCGACAAATTCGAATCAGAACCCGACTAGTTACTTAGTGTTGACATTGTTCCGGCATCTGGAAAGTCCCAACTACCAGTTGCTACTCCACGTGTTCGTTTACTTTTCCTTCACTAATTATGTAATGACAGGGTTTTAAAATATTAACTGGGAAGCAATAACGGTTCGAGGATAGTGATTGACAGGTGATGAGAAAGGTAAGAGACACTATACACCTATAGATTCACAGGAAAACGTAAATCGAAATGACTCCGTTCTATATGCACAAGCTTGCCGCTCCATGAAAGCAATTAGGAGAGAACAGACACTTCAGTTAACTGATCACTGATTCACTCCAACAACATAGGTATAGGTAAACTTGTAGCTCCGTAGATGCAATCCGAAGACAACAGAAACTGATCTTTGTTTGTTTAACTCAACACTTAAACAAACAGTAATAAAACATTATCCCAAGATATAATAAGTCAGCTACATAGTAGATTATATGTTGTCCCCTTCATGCACATTCTAAAACATTTTTAAGAATCTGAATGTAAAAAAAGTTCTTTCCCCACTCTTTGTCAATTTGCTTTTCCTTTTCATTTCAAATTAAGGATTTTATTTATGTTCGTTGATTAGGTATATTCTTCATGATCTACACACCGCTAAACATAAAAAATTACGATAGTTTCGAGTAAGCTAGCTTAAAGTATAAGATATCTAGAAGAAATAATGTTGTAGCAACTAGGTGATTTTAAGTTTCAATAGGCACATACAGCTACTAACCAACACACTAGAATACACGTGCTCTAGCATATTTTTGCATTTCTCTATTTGGATTGATTAGAAACATGCCTTTCCATCATAAACTGACAAGAAAACACGTTATTTCGGTAAATAGAAAGGGTACTTCTTATGTTATGGGGGCAAATTGTAGACTAAGCCAATATCCTTCACACATTGGAAGAAATTCAGACTTAGGATCGACCATATCTTGTAGGTTTCTAAAACAAAGGACACCTATTAAACCCAAGATCAAACAGTTCACCAATTGGTGGCTCCACAAAGATCCCGAAAAACCAAATTCTTCAAAATACAATTATCTTTTTAACAGAGAAACATGAATCTTTAACTCAGGCTATCAAAAAATAATTATATGAGAAACTACTTGTGTCACTTAGATATGGAAAGTAAATGAAGGAAAATGGGAGAGTGGTTAAATATGTGGAACAGTTGCGATGCAGCAACTTGAAGTACATTTATGTAACATGACAGAGACGTCATCAAAGATCAAACAGTACATAGAGCTTTAATACCTGCGAGCACTTTTACTTTAAAATCGTGTGAATGAAATATCTCGAGTATGATGCCAAGTGACGTTTCTTGAACACATACATGGGAAAGCGAGAAGATACATTCATATCGTCGCAAGAGTATGAAAACTGTAAACATTTCATGCAGATTTCAGACTTCTTTCAAGACTTTGAGCTATATTTAATTGATTTTCTTTGATTCAACAGTTCGGTAAACTTCCGGAAAACAAGGTTTCTTGTGTTAATTAGTTGTCAAACCACAGAACAACAAGGACAAAAGATGGCCATTTTGTAGCAGAAACAGATAGTGATGGTTTCAATAATCATTGCCATTCCTTCTTCATCTTTCAGCAACCTAACATGGTCAGAGGGTTTATACATTACAAGATTTAAAATAGTGCAGAGACGTAACAGAGAGAATATAGGGGTACAGTGTACATTATTAAACATACTGCTCTGGGCAGTCTCCGACTCATTTTTTCACTTTATTGAAACCAGTATCAGAGGAGGCTTGCTTAAGGTCCGTAGCATGTGTGGCATTTAATGCGTGCTAACAAACAAATGTTTTGGAAACAGTTCTCTCAAAAGCATAGCGCAGGACAATAAATTTTTAAATCAAATTCATTTACGGAAATTCAAAGAACTTAGATGCGATAGAAACAAAGAAAATTTAAACTCTTGTAATTAATTGTCCATTTGGCAACGTAAGAAAATTATTTATGCCTTTTTTTGTCCTTCGGGATGACAACAATAAGCTGACAAAGTCTGAATTCTATATTTTAACTACTAAACAACACATATCCAGACAGCATAATATAACTCCCTTTAAATCAATCATGAAAATGGACAATGAAGAATATGCTCACCACAAAAGGATAATTCCAAGTACTTGACTTCAATATCAAGATCGGACATGGGTAAACTTTTGCCAGCATCCCTACATCAGACAGAAAGGATATAGTGAAATTGCAGAATGGAAGCAACTTCTGCATTTAGCTAAGCATCTACAGTAAATACAATTACAACATCAATAGTTTCGATGTACTTCACCACAAGATCACTAAGAAAAACATACTATTTCAGCCATGAAAGAGAGAACTGAATCAAATTTCTCATTTAATTTAATGATTCAATCATAAGTTACTTCTTCGAAACTTGTACCAGCTGACAAAAACTAAAGTCCAATGCGTCCATAACAATCATTAAGGGACAACAATACATCAACTGTGGAATTCAAATGGCCTATATTAGTATCAGTATCCCAAGCGATTTTTGCACCAAACTAAACACAAAAGATTTAACGGAGAAAAGATCTATGAACACATGTAACCAATCAAGCTCTGACCATGACACTTCAACTTGATTTTATTGGCTCAAGAAGTACACTTCCACCTCCATAATAAAATCAAAAGAGATAGTAGTTTCCCCTCCTCTCATTCACAAAGGGGGAGGCTTAAAGTTTCCATTTCATTTAGTAGCATTGCGTGATTCTCGATTCATCTACTTCATTCCTCATTGACCCTCCAAAAAGTTTCCATTTTGGAGCAAGTTCCATTTTCCTAATTGATACAATAATCGTTGTTTTCACAATTTGTAGTCCTATTCGAATATTCATGCTAAGTTTTAGCCTTCAAAAATAACGACAATATTATCTAAAGCCAAACAAAGACCGCATTCCTAAGAATTGGAATTCTCTCTGTTCTTCTGTTTTATGTTAAGAAATTGTTCTAATCCAAATGCTTCAAATCAATATTTGGCTTTATCATAACTTAGGAATGCAGTCTTTGTTTGGCTTTGTGGATAAAATTGATAGTTCTCAGACCCTGAGCACCACCTACAGACCAAGGGAGGAAAAAAAATCTAAACATCATATGAAGAAAAACCCACAATTACCGAAAGAATTAAATTCGAATCCGCAAAACACATGTACTTGGCTCGTGATCAGTCTCCAATATTCCACCTAATTCTCCAACTTTCTTCAAGGATAGATCTCCCGTGGCCGACCAGAGACCTTTTTCCGATGCTCAATAGAACCCATCTTTATCTACTACATTGGCAGAGTCCTAACATACCAAATCAATTACCCCTTCAAATACATCCAACAACCAATCCTCCCAAACAACATCCCAACTTAATCAAACAACCCTACAGCAACAACACTGACCAGTCTTACATAGCACACAAAAGACACCAAAATAAGATAAGCAATCTCTTGATTCCAGAAACAAAACAGAGCAAAACAAAATGGCTCCGAGGAAGACCAAAATAACTGATCTATACCCGGCCAGGTTTAAATGACCACGTGGGCACATAGTTAAATGTCCTCTTTCAATTATACCCACAACACGTGAACACACAGGAAAAAACTATTCACAATATTCCCCATATTTGGATCTTTCCAGGTTTATCCAATTTCTAACTACTTCTACAGTTGAAACAAACAAAACAGTTGGTAATTAACCATATTCCAAGGAGGCAAAATCAGAAATCCACCCCAAATTCCACACACTTGGACATCTTCTCGTCACACAATCAACCCTACAATCGATTCGAACAAAATTACCGAATCACGAACCTTCTGTTCTCCTTATTTACATTTCATACCATAACAACGGGACAATAAACTTGGTAATAATGAATGGCAAAACCGTCCAATATTTTCGACACACTAAATCACCTCAACCAGCCCACAATTAGAGCTGCAACCTACCCAGTCAGAATTTTCGGGTGATCCGGTAACTGTTCCGCTTATTTATATTCCATACTAACATTATTCGGAGATCAAGTTGGCCAATACAAAGGGCAAAGGCGTCCAATTCTTTTCACACACTCAATCACCAACACACATTTTTAACTTTAAATGTATAGGTTAGACAAGTTAAAAAACAACCTCTATTCTTTCTTTCATTAATGGAGTTTAATTCGAACAAGGAATTAAATTTAATCCGAAAACGTTTTGTTGCAATAATTCTATGTGGGGGCCAGTTGACTTCATATTACTACCACAACTCAATCTTTCACAAATTTGTTAAAAAAAAATCTTTCACAAATGAATTGTGAAATATCTTTCTGAATATACAACTGAGCTGAGGACTGCAAAATCTCGCTGAGTTTCACACCAATCACAGAACCACAGTCCAACACCTTCAAGGTACGAAATCGAAAGAAACTGACCTTGATTTTTAATTTCTTTGATTAATTTTCTCCTCAGAGATGTCCCAGGGTTAGATTTGACCTGTGGTGTTGATTGGTGGAGTTTAAAGTTCGAGGTTTTAAAAGAATGAAAACTAGAAGTTTAATTTTCTATGGATATCTGTCTCAATTTGATTGTTCTAGATATTAGAATTTGTTTATAACAAAATCAAAAAGAGAAATATGCGAAACAAATAAAAATTACAATCAATTTAAGTTATGATAATCCACTACATATGCATATATGATATACAAACGTGTTACTTATTTTGAAAGCAGTCGTTAACATTATCGTGCTAAAATTTTAATCATCCAAATATCCAATTAGGAACTCATTTGTGTACGATCAAAAAAAGAAGAAGAAAGAACTCATTTGTGTTATTAAAAAGACTTGAGAGCCATCTAATAAAAAACTAAGCCTTCCTTGTTATGATTGAGGAAACTCAAAAATCCTGGCGCAGTTTTTGCTTTCTTGCACCATATACAAGAAAAATAAATAAATGAATAAATACGGGTAAACTAAATATTGATGAACCTAGACTTAGCGTCCAATTCAATCACAAACCTAGAATATAGTCTAGTTCAATAACTTAAGGATCATCTTGTAGTTTTTCACGTTCTCTGACATTGTTAAGTAATTGACAACACTTGAATAAGTCATCTCTCAAATTCACAAGATCGAATTGTGGCAATACAAAACCACAAGCCATACCTACCACTTGAAAATGACAACACTAAAGATGGCTAGAGGGCAACAACATTGTTGGGTTGTCCTTTAATATATTGACATCCGGTATTAGAATACATGTATGTAAAAATAGATTACACATAAATATGTAGGTCGGTAAGGAATGGTTTACAAGAACTCGAAAGTACTGCAAATCTCATCAAGCTATGCAGTCCCCAGGAATTCTTTGTATACCCCATTACAAACAAAGAAGATACAATTTCAGAAAGACAATTGAAGCGAAGGAAAAAAGGGCAAAATTTAATGCTGCTTTGCAATTAACAGGGTCTTATGCTAGATTACTTCCACAACAATTCCCAATTAGATTAGTTCCAAAAAGGATATACTACCAGCTAACTACTAATAATAAAACAACTACTAATAATAAAACAAGTAAAACCATGAATATCAAGTAACTCCGTCTCCAAAATAAACCATTACTAGACAAACTTCAACTCTAAAACATCCTAATGATTTTCTAATTTATCTCATCACAATGATTTAACTGACCAAAAGGCAGACTACCGCTGCATACTGAAGATACTACCAGCAAACTGCTAATAATAAGGCAACTAAAACCATGAATATCAACTAACTCCAGTCTCTAAAAGAAATCATTACTGAACCAACTTCAAGATATCCTAATGATTTTCTAAAGTCTATCATCATGATGTTTTGACTGACCAAAAGACAGACTACCTTGGCATAGCTGACCAAAAGGTAGACTACTGAAACGCTTCTCAACAATCTCAGGCTCATCCACTTAAAATCCCAAACTCTGAGAGGAAACTCGCTGCCAATTGGTCCGTGCTCAGCAAATAGTGGATACAACCACCACCAACTAATCTGCCTGCTTTTCCCCCTTCCCTCAGTACAAATGTTTGGCCTGAAACAATAATTAAATGGTTAAAAAATGACAGGTGACAGATAAATAAACTAGAAAAATTAGCTAAAAAACATGTAAAGTCACCCACCTACTTCAAAGGGATATGGCAAATGTAGCCCTAACAGAGCATTCACAGTGATCCCTGGCATACCCATCTTCTCATCTTCAAACCCAATGATGACACAGGCAATATTGGTTGTCCTGTCACAAAACCTAAGCCAAACATTTGGAACGAGTGGTATGTGACGACCACCCCGATCTTCGGTAAGGAGAGATATTTGGGCCATGAAGATCTTGTACGGTTTTGCCAAGCCACATTTTGAAACAACCTGTGCGCAAGATGGCAATTCAAATTGTTAAAACATACAAATGGGCATTGAAGGAACAAAGAAAGAGTGAATTAGAAAAGGAAGTGGAAAAATTTTTTAATAGAATTTAATCTGCAATAGTAGAGAAAGTTTGAGAAAATTTCAGACTTGACCACGCTGAATATCTTCCCGTTTCAAACCACGAAGAAGCAATCCCACATTGTCACCTGCCTAAATTCAAAAAAAAAAAGAAAAAGTCTCGAACATCAAAACCAAAATATATTGGACAAAGACTATCACTCATTACTTGTCCATCATCCAAAGTCTTCTTGAACATCTCAACTCCAGTCACAGTTGTTCTCATCGAGCTCTACACCAAAGGCATTAAACCATGATAATAATTAACCACAGAAGGAGGGGCCGGGTAACAATGTGTAGGAGCAAAATATAAAAGATTTTACTTGTAATATCAAATGAACACAATGATGTAAGGTTTGCGAAATCAACTTTAAATGAAATTAAGCAAAATAGTCTTTGTCATATTACTTATTGGAGTTATAATAAGATTTAGTTATCTTTAAATTTGGTCAAGGGCCAAAAATGCCAATTTGGTGATGTGCATTACAATTATTTAAAGCATGCTCTAATACTGAATCATCTTCGGCGGCACTAAACATAATATCTTTCTGCCAACAGCAGAAATACAAATATTTTTCAGGGAAGATCAAAATTGGTTGTAAACTTAATTGATAAAGAACATGAAATATATGTGTAGAAAATATATGAGTTAAAAATAATTGAATGGACAATTAAATCTTGTAGGAAATTTTATAAATCAGCTATATTATAGAAAACTTTGTAAATTTTTGTTGACCTTTTAACTGTTCTTCATTGAAATAACAAGAACGCAATGAATTTTGACAACTATACAAGCTTTTCTAAACAGAAGGGAAGCATGAAGGATGTAGGAAGATATAAGAAATGGCTTTATTACTAAATTAGTATAAGGAATTTCTTTTGGTATTAAGTATTTTATGTGAACGTCAGTTTTAGTCCTACATCTTAGGAAATTATTAAGCCTAGTAGAATAAGAATATAAAGAATCTCTCTATAAATAGAGATCTTGTGCACCTATTTTATTCACCTTATTATGATATTTTGTAAATCAAGCTTTTAAAGCTCTCAAAGACCCTATCTTTCAAAAATCCCTATAGATAGGGTTTGCGCATCCCGTATACTTTCAATTCAGTCCCCTTTCCCATCAATTTGGTATTAGAGCCTAGGTTACGAGGATGATGTATCCCAGTCCTAGGAGAAATCGTGCTAAACAATAGGATGAGATGGAGGGATTACGATGTGATATTACACAACTCAAGTTATAGGTGTTGAACCAGCAATGTGACCATCATGCGCTAGAACCAAGAAAATTACTTGCTAGTTGACCAGAAGGATCTGATGAGGATCCCGATGAATAAGGAGAAGAAGAAGAAGAAGAAGAAGAAGAAGAAGAAGAAGAAGAAGAAGTTAACCCGTTCTATGGCCCCAGGCATTAGATTTAAATAATGCTAGTGTAAAAATCAAAATGTCAAGTTTCTATGGCCAGATACATGTTGAAGATTTTCTTGACTCGGAATTAAGTATAGAGAATTATTTTGAATGGACACCTATGGCAGGAGATCAAAACGTCTTATTTGTGAAGCAAAAACTAAAGGGGTCAATAGCTTATTTGTGAAAGAGATTGGAAGAACAGCGTGCGCACCAACTTAAGAAAAAAATTAGCACTTGGGTGGCCATGAGAGTAAAGTTGCGAAAGCAATTTTTGCCACCAGATTTTGCTACGAGTATGTATGAAAAGTTCCATGGTTTAACAAAAGGCACCAAGAAAGTTAAAAAAAATATACTGATGAACTCAATAACTTGTCAACTCGGGGTAGGATTGAATGAGACTGATGAGCAACATACGGCAAGGTAAATGGTTGAACTGAGAATTTCAATCTGTGATGAGATGAACCTCACACGTAGTACTAGTTCAGAGGATGCATATCAGCAGACCCAACGAGTCGAGGAGCGTGTTATGTATATCGATTCACGTCGTGTTTTATTCTAGAGAAATGCAGCTACCAATTATTGGTTTGGATTCGGAAGTGCTAGGTCTAGCAAGAGGTAAAAATTCTAAGAGGACAGTGGCCCAACCAAAACTCACTAACTTTCAGAATCGTGCAGGTTCTGATTCTACTCAAACTAACCAAAGAAGTCGTCATCCTTGAGCCACGGGTCCAAATGGTATGATTTGTTTTTCATGTGGAGAAACAGGTAATATTTCCTTAAGTTGCCGTAGATGTCAAGAGAATTTAATTGAAGACCAAGAAGGTTATTTGGGAGAGCCTGTATACTATACATATAAAGATGATGAGGAGACAAAGGTAGAATAATTGCCAGTTAAAGGGGAAACTTTGATGGTACATAGGATCTTGGCAACTCCTAAGGTTGATGAATCAGAGGAAGATTGGAGGCGCCATAGCATTTTGCGAACCACAGTTAGTTGTAAGGGGAAGATTTATAATATGGCTATTGACCTGGGCAGCATAGATAATATAGTTTCTCGCGAATTGGTCAATAAAATTGAAATTCCAACTGAAAAGCATCCACATACCTCAAAATATCACGAGGTCACAATTCCATTTATGTGGTTGTAGATAGATATTCTAAAATGGCTCATTCTCACTCATTTTTTAACACTTTAGATGCTTCACAATGGCTGACCTATTCTTCAAAGAAATTGTGAGGCTACATAGAGTTCCTACCACAATAGTACCAGATGGGATGTCAAGTTCATGGGTCATTTTGGTGTATCTAGTGGAGAAAAATGGGAAGTATTTTGGTCTATACTAGTATGGCTTATCCTCAGATTGACGGACAAACTGAGGTAGCTAAATGTAGCTTGGGTAAGTTACTTCGTTGTTTAGTGGGAAATCTTGTGAAGACTTGGGATTTGGTGTTGCCACAAGCGAAGTTTACCTATGATTCTATTAACTACACAACCAACAGGACTCCATTTGAAGTAGCTTATGGTCACAGGTCTCAACATGTTTTGCACCTTATTCAACTACCACCATAACCAAGGGTCAATCCTGATGCTGAAAATTATGCTGATCATGTGAGGGGAATTCATAGTGAAGTTCAAGAAGCTATCAAAGTTAGCAGCCCTCAATACAAAGAAATAGTTGATGACAACCGTAGGAAGAAGGAATTTGCTAAATGGGATGGTTTTTCTGCGAAATGAATGAGTTCCAAAGGAAGCTTATCAGAAACTACATCCCAAGAAGTTTGGGTCTTGTCGTATATTGAAGAAAATTAGATCCAATGCTTATGCCTTAGACCTTCCTAGTGATTTTTAGATCAGTCTCATTTTTTATGTGTCAAACTTACATGAGTTTCATGAGTCTAATGAGGACGATGTTCAGCCTGAGGAAAAAGATTGGTTTGACGTGTTACCTAAGAAAAATAAGGAGTCAATTCATGAAATTTTGGACTTCAAAGAAGTGAAGTATCACCAAGGAAAATGGTTAACACCGATTCTTGGTGAAATGGTTAGGCAAGACTTCTACGGAGAACACTTGGGTTTCTGATGATAAATACAAAAGATTAATCATACCATTTGCGAACAGCTTGATCATGCTTTCTCATCAGGAGCTGAGACTTTTTCACCTAGAGAGAGTTGATGTAGGAAGATTTAAGAAATAGCTTTATTATTAAATTAATATAAGTTTCTTTTTTTATCAAGTATTTTATTTGAATGTCATTTTTAGTGCTAAGTGTTAGGAAATTATTAAACTTAGTAGGATTAGGAATAAACAGAATGTCTCTATAAATAAAGACCTTTTACATCTTTGTTATTCACGTTAAAGCTTTTAAAAACGCGGTCTTTCAAAAATACCTATAGCAAGGATTTGTTATTCTGTCTATTTTCAATTCAATCCTTCGTTCTGCATCAATGAATAACTATATATTTGGCAAAAATTTAGTGCATTGAGATTTTGATGTGCAAAGTGATATAAGATAAACTACTTTATAAATGAAATGAGTGTAACCAGTGACTTTACATCTTCTTTCCTCTCTAAATTATGCATTTAAAAGTTCTTGTAGCCAACAACCTTTAATATTCCATTTTTTTCAATGTTCTTATATGTAAGAGGACATTAAAGAAGAAATTAATAAATAAGATAAATAATTAGGTAGTTTATGACTCTACATCTTTCTTTTCCTAAGATTGTCCATGTAATATTAGTGTAACCTATGACACTTCACATTCCATCATTTAAAATTCCTTGTGAGTAAGATTTATTAAAATTATGAAATTTATGATGTTCTAAAGTCTCTATTCTCTAATAACTTTTTATATTTTATCCTTTCAGTTGGTAACTATTCTTTCTCTGTTTTTAAAAAAGAAAAACTTTAATTTTTTCACTAGTGATTCTAATAATGATATGGTGTGATGACCAAGAGAAAGACTACCAAACAACCAAACTCGCTATGAGAAGACAATGAATTTGGATGCTCATTCCAATATAATTGTAAAATTCTTAGGTAAAAGATAATTACCATCATGAGCCCGGATATCTCAACATGATCCGCAACTCTTACTCTACCTCGTTCAATTCATTGTCTTAATTGTATTAATACACGAATGATCCCCTCCCTTACATATTATACACGAATCATCGAATCATCGCACTTTTATTATACACGAAATTTAGGTTGATAGGAAAATAGACTATTCAAGAGGAGGAGGGGTTTTGTTTGGGGAGTTGGGAGCGGTAGGGGGGGGGCTATTCAAGAGAATCAACGTAAGGATGACTGTGAGATTACAATATTATCACCACAAACGCAAAAGATTTTTTGGAATGCTTTTCCCTCATATCCTCAGAGGAGATTAATTTTTTATCGTCATTTTAACAATTTGTCAGCCAAAATTTAATAAATTGGGGCGTCACCTACAACAGTTTTGAATTCTATATTATGCGTATGGGCAGTTGTAATAGTTGAGTGGCTGTATTCTTTTTCATTCAATCGTTGATGGACGAATTTCAGTAAATTAAGTTAATATAAAGCCTTGTTTAAAAAAAAAATACTCCATCTGTTTTCGCAAAAAAATAATTTTGAAATTTGTAATAATTTTAATACAAATTTGAAAATTCAATATAAATTATTTTTTCTAGAATAGAGGAACTATTATTGTATGAAGCCAAAAAAAACTCAAAAAAAAAAAAAAAACACAAATTGCATGAAGCCATTAAAGAGGTTTTAGGCTACAAAAGATACATAATCCTTAGATGAAAATTATTAAAAACCCAAGTATATTAACTCAAAAGTAACGCATACAAGTGAAAGACATTTTGGACTAAGAATTTAAGATTCCCTTAAAGTTGTTCAGGTAGGTTTTTTTGGGTATGTTTTTTCAGACATTTTGAATCGTAATACCCAACAACAATAACAAGTTTTTGTTTTTTGTTTTGTTTTTTTTTTGGGGGGGAGGAGGTTATAGATCATCATACATCATTACTATGATCTATTACACTTATTTCATTCATATTAAAAAAATCGGCCATAACTAATAGGCTTTATAAGTCTCTTTTAAGTCCAATCATACAGTTGTAATTTGAGATACTAATTCTGTATTTTCTAACCAGATTCATTTTTTTATTGACTACGTGACAAGCAAAATTCCAAGGCACTTCCCCAAGATTTAAAAGTTTGATTAAGATTCGAAAGGAGTGGAACAATACAATACGTCATTATCTTGTATATTTTTGAGAGGTGATTTAAAAGTTCAATTTTTAAAGAACAATTTCAAGATGAGAAAGTAGAATTCCACACAATCTCAACAATCCAATCGGAAGGGTTCCCGTGCATCTTCCAGACTGAGGAAAACTGAACAATATGATCCCATAATTTCGAGCAAAGGACATAGTCCCTCCGTCCCATAATTATTGTCCACTTTGCTCAAAAAATTTTGTCCCAAAATTATTGTCTAATTTGACTTTTTATGGATCAAGTTACACATTTGTCCTTAGTAAAAAATATTATCCATAAAATCTTAGTGGTTAAACAATTACTTATGTAGGGGTATATCCAGTTATTTAAAGTAAAATATAGTTAAGTTTGACAAAAAATAAAATCTTTCATTTTAGTAAAATTGGATAATAATTATGGGACGGAGGGAGTATATAATTTTCTCTTAATCTTTTAGTTCATGATATCTGTTTCATCATTCTCCCTTTACGTAAGTACTCATTCCGTCCCGAAATTATTGTTCAGTTTAAGTTTTTATTTTCAGTTCAAATTGTACTAAAATTGAAATATCAAACTGGACAATTATTTTGAGACGGAGGGAGTAATTATTTTTCATTCGGTGTGATACCAATTAAACGCGATGTAACCAATTCATAATTTAACTTGTAATTGTTAAAACATACTGTTATCAAGGGAAAAAACCCAACTCACTAATAACTAATAGTAGATGAGATTTTTGAATTCGTTAATTATGTTGAAAAATCATTTCTTTTTTCTTCTTCTTTTTAGCCTGTTGAACGACATTGACCTAAGAGTACCATGAAAAGTCACAAATACCCCCAAATCTATAAATCAAAGCGTGTCATGCTTACCTTTGAAGATAAGACAGTTTAGTAAATTCAACAAATCACAGATCAAGAGCGTTCCCCCTCCAAACTCCCAAAACTCTCCAAATCTTCCTTCCCCCTTTTGGGCGTTTCCCGGCGACTTCAAAACCACACTCTTTGAGTCTCCACACCCACACAAAACTCGCACACACACACATTAACCCTTCAACTTCTACACACACTCACACACTAACTCGGAAGCCCTTCCTTTCACTTCTGATTAGATGACTTAGACACTATAATGCGGAAATTGAACGGTTACAATGGCGGCAACGGCGTTGGCGCCGGCGGTGCGAACGGCGGCGGAGTAGCCAGAAACGGCGGAGTTTCGTCGGATCACAACACTAATAGCTACCAGCACCATGTTTCGATTGGGATTCGCTCCAGTGGTGCTTCGCAGAAGCAGCAATCGCGATACGGCCACCATCATCATAATCACCACCACCGACGGTTAATTAGAGTCCGCAAGATCTCCATCGTCACCGCGCTGCTTGTCTTCCTAGTTGTTGCTTTCGTTGGTTCCATCTCTGCTTTTATTTACCTATCTTCCAAAGATAAAGGTCCGGTTTAGCTGCCTATGAATGATTTCTCCCCCTTTTCTTTCTTTCTTTATTCTTTTTACTTTAAACTGGCTTTTATGATTCGTGGACTGTGCTGATGAGTATGTTTAGTTCAAATAAGTAAGCTGATTTACTTCGTTGTTGAATTGATCGTGTTACAGTTCTGCAGATTTTAGATGTAGTAAATATCAGATTTTCCTCCTCTTCCTTGGCTTAATTGTTAGGGCTTGACCGAATTCCATAAAGAACTGGAGTAAGAAAACTCTGGTTGATTTGAATTAATGTCGGTGGAACTTTGAAGTAATGTTTGACTTGGTTAGGAATTCTAATAGTTTACCTTAGGTAGGGTGCTAGTTGATAGTTAACTACAGGATGTGCAGACGTTGAAATCAAAGATCGAAGTTTGTGCAGCAGCGGCATTTTTAGTGACTGAATTGAAGATGAAATCTGTTGTTTCTTTTAATGTGTTTGTGATGGTCAAAAAGCGATGAAATTTGGCTAGCAAATGTTCCTTTTTAATTGCAGATGTTTTGTTTAGTTCTTGAACTTTTTCAATAATCTATGTTACTTGCTTGATATTTTTCTTTTCTTTTTTTGTGTGGTGCAGATATACATAGTAGTCATACAGAAGATGATGAGTTAGGAAATTACACCGATTTTCTTGTAAATGTTACACGGACGAATAAAAACAAAGATGTTAAATTTGGACATGGATCAGTTAAACATGGTCGTGACTCGCGGTATTGGGATGGGGATGATAGAAGAAGAGATGAAGATTATCATGAAGGGGACTTAGATGGGGCTCGGGATTCTGTAGATGATAGTGTGAGGGAGAAAGCAAAAAAGGGTGATAAGAAAGCTTATTCTGGTGAATCTAATAAAGATGTAAGCCATAGAGGCCAGGGATTGTATAATGAGGCAGGGCGGAATGAATTAAAGATGTATGAGGCTGAGTATGAGTCATCTTTAGATGAAATTAATCATGTTAACCAGCAGGGTAGTGTGAATGAGGATCCCGATGATGATACTAGGGAAAATGCTGATAAGATGGTAGATCCTAATGACGAGTATGATGATGGCATTGACATACAAGATGTCCGATCCGAAGATGATGATGATGATGAAGTAGGTCACATTAATAGGGATCATTCTGGTTCCGTAGCATCTGATGATCTGGATGGTAGAGATTTGTCTGAATTACATGGTTCTGGAATCAGACGCCCAAATGAAGAGATTGATGAAATGTCCAGTGATTTTTCAGACAAGGAATCACATTCGAGTCCTAAGAGTGCAAGCAAAGTTTCTAGCTCTTCAAAACATGCAAGTTTGAATGGTGGTCAATCTTCTAAAAAGTCTGCCTCTGAAAAGAGGTCTGGTTCCAAAAAGAAAGCAAAGCGCCGTAAGTTTTCTGCTCAGTTTGTGGTTTTCTAATTGCATTTGTATTTACAATAAAGCTTTGATGTGAAGTTTAAATTGGAGATTCCATGATTATTCATAGATGTATGTAGAGATGTTTTTACATCTGCATTATGAACTAATGTTGTGAATGCAACAAAGTGTCGCTCAATGTGTTTTGATGATTGATGATCTAATCTAATAAATCCATTGCTTTCTGCTGTTAAAAATTGAAATCTAATCTTGGTGTGAGATTACTTCAGAAACTGTTTAGTCTTATTTTAACGGCATGCTTGTTCAAATTTCAGGATTCCACTTTCTCATTTTTAAATGATGATAATTTTCATCTACATCCTTTTCTGCTGAATCATCTTCTTCTTCTGTAAATTACATTTTTAGTGCTGAACATTCTCTGCTGCATTTTAACTACATGCATAATGATGTTTGAATGGTTTCACTTTCTTAATGTCTGCCAAAGTTCGTAGATGAGCCTAAAATGAAGCAGGATTTTCCCGTGGGGTATTGGTTTTGTTAGTTTTTCCTAATTTATTTTTTTCTGTAGCACCTAAACTGCATAATTTCAATATTCAGATTCCTGTGAGATGAAACTTTTGAATGCTACGGCACTTCTGGTGGAACCTTTAGAAAGTCGAAAATTCTCAAGGTTTTCCTTGCAGTATACTGAGGCAGAAGAGAAACCCAATAATGATGAAATGTGGGAACCAAGATTTGCTGGACATCAGAGTCTTGAAGAACGGGAAGAATCTTTTATTGCACATGATCAGAAAATAAATTGTGGCTTTGTTAAAGGTCCACCTGAATATCCTAGTACAGGTTTTGATCTGGCAGAAGATGATGCTAAATTTATGAGCAGTTGCCACATTGCTGTATTGTCGTGCATATTTGGAAACTCAGATCGTTTAAGAACGCCGGCTGCAAAAACGGTACCGCAAGATTTACCACCTTTCCAGTTTTCATTTTGGTCTTCCTGCATTCTGCTCTGCTAGGAACATGAGAATAAGACATATCAGGGCGCTTGAATCTGTTCACTTTTATTTTATTTTAATTTTTTCCGTGTGTGTGATATGATGATCAAGGGTTCATATGTTTAGGTTTCAGACTGATGCTCCAAACTTTGGCCCTGTTATTTCCTGATCCTTTTTTTTTAGTCAAATCGTTTCTCTTATCAAATCCATATCTATTAACTGGAAGGAGTAAATTTAGAGAGGGTAATGATTGGTTTCAGAAGGGGGGTGCGTAAAGTTGCCTGCTGAAAAGGATGGAAGAGAGGTTTAAAGGGATGAATTGCTATTCTGCTATTCTCTGCTTGTCCTCTAAACTTCCATTGAGTGCTTGGAGGTTTATCAATTGTGTCAAGTCTGAATCTCACATGATACAGATATCAGGATTTCTTGAATTTACTCTCCTCCCCCTACCTTCCGTGAATAATTCCATTTTGTTTTTTCTTTTTAGCACAGCCCATACATTTTAACTAACTTTGTTTTATTTTATTTTTATCTTTTTTTAGTTGATAACTTAAGTCTTCTTCAATCTAGCGTTTTTCTAAATCACATGAGTTATCCAAATATGTCTAATTATATTATTAAGTAGAAATAGAATAGAACTGATCACAGAATATGGAGCCTATTTGATCTGATTGCAATATGTTGATGGCCTAGGTCCCTTTTTGCTTTACTGATTGAGAGATTGCTAGTTGTGACAAATGTTAATAATCTCATGAATATTTTTTCTTTATTTGTTACGTAACTAGGCTACAGAATAGTTGACGTTTCACATGCTTAGCACATGAAAGTAGAACAGGCACATAGTTAAGATTGATGATTTGATACCTAAATAACTAGGCTACAGACTTGATGATGTTTCACATGCTTAGCAGATGAAAATGGCACTGGCACATATTAAGATTGATAACACTTTGGTTTTTAGTTGTTTGAATTTTATAACCTCTTTGTGTTTCATGTCTGTATGTCCCATAGTTCTCCTGCTTAAATGATCCATTTACTTTCCAAGGATTTTGCGTTAGAGATTTTAGTAACTCCTCCATTTGTCTCTTCTTGAAACATCTTGTGATCCAATGCCGCGATATTTGTTTTTCACAAGGGAAAAAAGAGGAAAAACATCTAATCCATTGAGAAATTTAATTTCCTCTAAAGAACTTGTTCCATTATCATTTGAACTCTTTATCTTAATTCATTTGATTTTTTCTTCTTTGTTTTCTCATATTTGGTTAGTGCCCTGCTGACTTGCTGTTCTATTATTGATGTTCGTTGTTCTACACAGGTTTCTCGTCTATCAAGGAAAAACGTCTGTTTTGTTATGTTCGTTGATGAAATCACTCTAAGAACACTTACATCCGAGGGACAAATGATGGATAGAATGGGCTTCATTGGATTGTGGAAAGTTGTTTTGGTGAAGAATCTACCTTACACTGACATGAGGAGAGTCGGAAAGGTTCCAAAGTTCTTGTCTCATCGACTTTTCCCTTCAGCTAGGTAATGTTTAAATTTCACGATTTTGAATGGACTCCACGGTTCACATGTTCTAGACTTTGTAAAGAACTCTCTTCTTTCTGTAACATAATATTTTGAAATTCTTTCCAGGTATTCTATCTGGTTAGACAGCAAGTTACGCCTACAGCTTGACCCATTTCTGATCTTGGAGTATTTCTTGTGGAGGAAAGGTCATGAATATGCTATCTCGAATCATTATGACCGCCACTGTTTGTGGGAAGAAGTTGCCCAAAATAAAAAGCTGAACAAGTACAACCATACCGTTATAGATCAACAATTTGAATTCTATCAACATGATGGAATAAAACGGTTTAATGCATCGGACCCGAATAAACTTCTCCCAAGCAGTACGTCTCTTTCTTTTCTTTGCCTGAAGCCATTAACTTCTGCTACATTATGATGTAATTGTAATGCGATGTTTTCTGAATTATTGCAGATGTACCAGAAGGGTCTTTTATTGTCAGAGCGCACACACCAATGTCGAACTTGTTTTCTTGTCTTTGGTTTAATGAGGTTGATCGATTCACTCCTCGTGATCAACTGAGTTTCGCATACACCTATTACAAATTGAGGAAGACAAATCCAGAGAAACCTTTTTATTTGAACATGTTTAAGGTGAATTTTAATTTTGATTAAATCCAAAGGCTGATTTACTGGGTTTTGGACTCTGAATGATATACATAATATTGAACCTTTCCTTTCCTTTGACTTGCAGGACTGTGAGAGACGAAAGATAGCCAAACTGTTCCGCCACAGGTCAGAAGAGAAGAGAAATATGTTGCAGCATGAGATAGAATAGTTGCTGGAAAGTTGATTTTCCTGTGACGGATTTGCATATCTTTATTGTGAGTCTGCTTTATTGGAATCATTGGTTCGATTCTTCTAGCGTATATGTTGTAAAAAGATGTTCATTCAGTTTCCTCAGAAATTCTTTTTTTCTGTATTTCCACTGATTGATGTGTTTGGATGCGAAGTCCACACATCAAAGACACACCAGAGAGAGGAGAAGGCAGGTTAGTTTTCAAAAGTATCTTTCACCTGAAAATAGAAATAACAAATCAAGAATCGTAGGTACTGTTTGATTCATTTTTTTGTACCATAGCTACATGAAGAAGCCATCCCATACCTCTTGTAACAGTATTATCATTACTATAGTTAATAGAGAAGTACACACACTTGATGAGCGGGTTCAATTTTACATTTATGATAGGGGATTGTGAAGTGTTCAGGTCATTTAAAATCTGTATGAGGGATGTATTAAAGTTCATTCATTCCATGAAAGTATTAAAGTTCATTCATTCCCTGAAAGTAGCTTTTAACACTTTGTTTAGACCTGGTAAGCTTTCAGAAATATGTGTTGTCTTCTTTCTGTGTTCCTTTTTGTGTTTTTAATTATTAAAGTAGATCATTGTATTTGATCGTTTTAGCCTTACAAGACGTGAGACATTTTGTGCTCTCACAGATGCATTGATTGTTATCACGAGTTGCTTGTCTGTTAGAGGGTGTGCGATATTGGTAGTTTGATCTCCAACGGGCATAGACATGGTTGACCTCAAAAATGGTTTCAACCCGAGGGTTTGTAAGTAGAAGATGCACTGGGATTTGATTTGTCTCTGATTTTTTTCCATACAATGTGCTCGAGGCATTGCCTACCTTTACTTTTCTGTTACAGATCTGTTAGTTAGGTTTCTTGTTTCGAACATTTTGTTTTTGTTCTAGTAATTTAGGGAGCTGCATGCTTGGAAAAGGGACATTGGTAATGGAATAAGGGTAAGCAAGTTTTCATTTGGGACATGAGAAATTGGTGGACAGAGAATGAATCTCTATTTCTCAAATTCAATCAGAAGAGTGTATCGAATTCTTCAGTGAACACGTCTTTTGGTAATCATGCACCTTATTGAGCCTGAGAAAGAACATCATAACCAAAGTAGAGTACAAAAGGAAGATAAATATGGCTACAAAAGCCGACAGAAACATAACTTTCTCTACTTGACTCTGACTTGAACATGCAAGCCAACCTCTGCAACTTTTCTCCAGTTACTAGCCTCGGCCTTCTGAGCTGAAAGTTTCTGATCTTCTTTTGCTGTCTTAATCTTTTGGTTTTTTAAAAGAAGCCGGAGAAAGATTCTCACTCTCTCGCTACGTTGGAATTCTTGTACAAAGAAAGCATAGAAAGGTTTCATTTGAAGTTCACAAAATTTATTTCCTTCTTTATTCCTTTGGAATTGTTCAGAAAAGAGTTGAACATATGATTACATAACACGTCATTATTTTACACCGTACTTCGTGAAAATCTGTATTCAATATATCTGGAATACACACACAGCGAAAAGAAATAAGTGTAGTATTCAATGATTACAACCTAGTGTATATCTGTATTTTGTACACCACACAGTTTAAAAGAGACAAACTATGAAGTCAAGTCATTAAATTAAAAAGAAAAAAAGCAAAAGTAGAGTAAGAAATCAACACCCTAATCTGATATGATTGATTCATCATCGACTTCTTTTCTTGAGTGATCGATGAGAATTTTGAACCATGATCACCTTGTTGATCAAGACCTTGAGAAACACCACAAAGCTCACCCTTTTATTGGGTTTGGCCAATTTCATAAAATGGGCACATCCAAAATTCAACATCTTCCCATGAGAATGATGATCCTTCTTCTTCATTGATGAAGATGATAAGAAGTATGAATTCGAGCTATTTCTCGAGAACAACTCTTCATTGAAATCTTCCCATAAAATATCCATCTTCTCTTCTTCTACATAACAATCTTCATCATGATAATCATCATCATCTCTTGCACAAGCAGAAGAAGAACTCCTTTGTGTTTCAACACGTTCTATAATATTGTATGAGATTCTCGAGTCTTCCTCCTCTACTTCTTCTTCATCTTGTTCTTCATCCTCTTCAACATCGTGGATTCGCGTTCCGGCGGTACATCCCCATAGGCGAGGTGACTCGATGAACCGAGGCGGTGGTTCGGTGGTGGTGGAGAAGCTGAAGTCTTCTTCTTCTTCTTCTCCATCTTGTGTGGCCATGACGACTGATATGCTGCCAATTCGGTGTTATTATTTGTTCTAAATATGTTTTTGCCGTGTGTGCGGTGGCAAAATGAGGTGGGCCTTTTGTTGTGCTTTTTTAGCTTTAGTTTTGGTTGATGATGGTTTTGTTTTGCATAGGCAATTTTATTAGTTGAACTGCCAGATGTGTATTGGTAACCAATTTCTTTTATCAATTGGGAAATTATTGGGGTGGTGGGGTCCTCATTTATTTAGTGGTTCTAATCATTTCCACCTAGTTTATTATTAGAAGACAAATTGTTGGTGTAGCCTAAACAACAAGTATAATGTCAACTCACACGTCATGACCATGTTATGTGTATTTTAAGAAGACTAAATCACCAAACCTGTATATTTAACCGAAAAGTAATTTTGTTCATTCACAAAAGAAATTGCTCTTTCTATTACAACTCATTTTTCCTGCGAATTTGAACAATTTAAAGCTTGATAACTAGTGAATTAGATCGAGAGTTCGATTCTCACTGAGCCATTTATTTATTTTAAAAGTAGTGATTTATACTAGTTCTCGGAAAGTTCACTAAATAGTACTCCTTCCATCCCATAATTATTGTCCAGTTTGGGTTTTCATTTCTAGTACAAATTGTACTAAAAGTGAAATCTCAAACTGGACAATAATTTTGGGACAGAGGGAGTAATATATATTAGTTCGTGAATTCATTATTTTAGAAGAGGGAAAAAAAGAGAGGCAAAACTGAATGTAACGGACTAAGCATACCATTTTTCTTTTGTGGATGACCAAAATTATTTTTGGATCAATCCCTGTATCGGAATTTTTAGTGACATGTTCTTACTCTAAATTAATTAGGATCGCTAAATTAGTCATTATTTTTTTTTAAGGACATCACTATACTTCATATTACTATTAAAGAGTAGCTTCGCTATGAAATTCAGTCGACTTAAAATGTTGGTTTATATGATTATGCGGATTGCTGCAAAATGCTTAATTTCCATCTTGTATGCGGAAAGAGTCGTTATTCTGAATACATTTTGGGGATTATGGGTTATTATATACTCCTATTAGAGTATCTTAAAGTCAGATGAGACCAGGACACATCTGGTCTGAGTAATAAAAGAATCGGATATGTACGTTCAGCTCCAGAAATTTCGAACTATAATATGAATGAACTCATGTAGCATAAATGATATCTTTGGTGGGAGAGTTTCGCCTTTGAAAATAGACTAATTACTGACCCAAAAGCCACAAGTTTACTAAATTTTATAAGTACGACGAGGAAGTATGATATTTTGCATCACAAAAATTAAACTAAGAGCTAACTAGTCAGGATCATGGTTCAAGTGCCATCTCGCACGATCAATCCTAGTGCTCACTAATTGATCAAAAACATGGAAAACTAATAATAATAATAATAATAATAATAATAATAATAATAATAATAATAATAATAATAATAATAATAATAAAATCAAAATAGTGATGAAGGTACAAGCAAAAATATCTATGTGGTGCTACTTAATGAAATGATCGACCCAACTACACTCTCTTAATTTGTAAAAAATTAGATAATGATTTTGTTTTACTGAATGAAGAAGAATTATTACATTGGTAAAATCACAACCATATAACTTTGTTTCACTAAATATGAACATCTAGAATCAATCACATAAGTACGGATGAATTGATTGTTTCTTCAACAGCACAGAACAGGCAAATTTGCTGGCTCTAAGTTTGGGGAAAGATGCCCTTTTGTAGCGCTCCACGAACCTAAAGGGTTGTGGTTGTTTTTCTTGAAGAAGTTGCGCTGTTTCAACTCTAAAATTGGAATAACTTCTTTGATATTCTCCTGGATGAAAGGATGATTGATAAGCTGATCTGCTGTCCATCTTGAACTTGGTAATACCTGGAAACAACATCTCATCAAGAAATCTTTTCCGGTTTCGGAAACATGATTAGGTATCTCAGCAGGCTCGCTGTGATTATAGTCTTTCCAGATTTGTTTTCGACCCATCATCATCTTCAGAACCGTGTAACCTAATGACCATATATCCGCGGACGGGCCTTCTATACCTTCCTTGATGGATTCTGGTGGTCTATAAGAAGGATCTCCTCGGAACCTCGTTTTCTTCTCTCCAACCTTCATACTTTCACCAAAATCAGCAAGCTTCAAATAACTATATCCTTCCTCGTCAACGAAAACTAGGATGTTTTCCGGTTTAATATCGCAGTGAATCAAACCCTTTTCATGGATGTAAGACAACCCTTTAAGCAACATGAAAGTGTACTTAGCCACATCGGATTCCGACATCTTGTAATCGTATCTCGCGATCAAGTCGCTGAGTGAGCCACCATTCGCGTACTCAAGGAAAAGGCTGTAAACGTGTCCACAATCCTCTTCGAAACTTATGGCTTCTCCGTAACATTGAAGTACGTAGGGATTTCCGTTCAATTCCTTCAACAATCTGGCTTCTTTCTCCAAACCCGTTGATTCATCCAAGCGCGCAGTCTTCACGGCCGCGATCGAATTTCCGGACGACGACTTGTAACTAGCTAAATACACGGTGCAAAACTCTCCAGCACCTAACTCCTCCTTCTTCTCCCACATTGTTATAAATTTTGATTCAAGTGAATACACAGAAATTGAATAAAAATTAGTGCACTGATCTGGTTGCTCGAGTGATGATGACAGAATAGAGAGAAAGAATTCTGAAGTTGGAAAAATCGATATCTCTATTTCTACATATATAAAGAAGCTAAATTCATTAGAATTAGGAAAGTTATTACAATCCCAATCGGAGTCGAAATTGGAAAGTGGAAACCGAGGGAAACCGGCCACGTTGATTAGAATTAGGAAAGTAATTACACAACAAACTTTCAATCGCAATTGGAAATAGTAAACCGTATACAACAGTAAAAAGTTTCAAAATTATAATGCACGACATTTTTTTTTTTTTTTGAAGAAAACGACTTTCATTGAGATCACTGGAGATATCACTTCAACAATTCAAGCATGCCAAGGAAATTTTGATGAAAGAGAAACCTCAAGATACTCCGTGCACTTGGTGTCATCCTTCATAACCTACCACCACGAGAACAAGATGAAATTGGTTAAATAGCCAAGAAGCAGAACTTTAGTTCAATAAAATGCATAAACATTGTTCCAGACAGCAAACCTCGTAAGCCTTTTGTGCTTATTCAAAATCTTTTGCAGCGTCAGGGTCATCTTCATATGTATCAGGATGCGAGCTTTTTCCAGGCTGCAAAAGGATACCAATCAAAATAGTAGTAGTAATAAAATGGAATACACTAATGCAGAACAGTTTTCGACAAATTTGAATGGCCTATCAAAATTAATTCCTTTCACCAAATTGAAAAGGCTTCATAATATCAAGAGAGGAACTTACACCATAATCGGCTTTGTTGTTTGGGGAAGACGTAGCATTTCTACGCACGCCAAGAACATCAAAATAATCACTTTTATGTGCCGATTCGAGTCTCAGCTCCTCACGTACATAAAATACTACAATATAAGGCACACGGAACAGAACACTTCAATAATATCCAAGCAACTCACAAACCCAAATTATCCAACAAAATTTTTTTTTTTTCTCTGCAATTTTTTCAATTATACTCAAGTTAAATTTGAGAAAAGCGAACCAAAGAAAAATGCAATAAACAATTCGGTAACAGGCCCAAAGAATGTCAAAGGATCCTATAAACATCCTCAATCTAGGGTTCAAAAGTTGAACCACTAGGTAAAAGATGGTATAACAGTACCTTCTACAAGTATCAGTTTGGGGGCGAACTGAGGTTTTAAGAACCAGAACACCAAACACGAGGAATCAATAAGCACAGCTGGCGCAAGTTATGCTCTTGAAAGCAGGTAGTGAAGAACAATGATCACTAGTTTTCTGGTTTTAGTTTTCTATATGCAGAAGGCAATTTATCCAGTATACTCGGGGCACCGTGTACCTCTTCCTATTTTTTGCATTTCTAGTCTTTATTGTACTTTTTTACCAATCTTTCTATATTTTACAAGTTTAGTCCCTGTCATTTTTTCTCTCTCTTCTAAAAAAAAACATCTTTAATCTTTCAACGAGCATATCTCCCAATCCGTGAAAAATTTGTGAACGAATTATATATGAAATTTATAGTACTCGTAGAGATCTATCCAACAAAATCCATAGTGAATATTTTTTTTGGGCTTAAAAATGACTTAATTCTGATAGGCAGAATAGAGGTGGATATCCAATTTTACAAGATGGATAACCAACTTGTTCTAAATTGGTTATCCATTGTGTTTATAGTGATTATCCAATCAGTTTGAACTGATTATCCAACTTCTTTGTACTGGATATCCACCCATTTGGTTTGTATGCCTATCAAACTTGTTTGTAATGGATATCCCACTCGTTTGTACTGGATATCCATTTCGTTTGTACTAGATATCCAACTCGCTTGTACTGGATATCCATCCATTTGGTTTATATGCTTATCCAACTTGTTTTGTAGTTTTAATCCAACAGGTTTGTATGCATATCCAATTTGTTTGTGCTGGATATCCAACTCGCTTGTACTGGATATCCATCCACTTCATATTGATTATCCAACTTCTTAATTCAAATAAGTTGGTTATCCATCTTCTTAAAATGGATATCCAATGTGTTCATATTGATTATCCAACTTCTTTGTGGTGGTTATCCAGTATTTTTTTTTCCTTGCTCTTTTATGAAAATGATTGTTAAAATTTTTTGTACTGATTATCCAATGTGTTGTACTGATTATCCAATTATTTTCTATTGATTATCCAAATTGTTTGCAATGTTTATCCAATCATTTTTTCTTTCTTTCCTTTTCTTTTGAAGAGTGAATGTCAAAAATATGATTGGATAACAAGTATAAACAGAATGAATAATCAGTCCAAACCGGTTGGATAATCAATAGGAACACAACGGATATCCAACTTGATAATCAGTTGGTTTATCCATCCATTTGTATTGGATATCCAATTTGTTTGTGCTGGATATCTAACTCGCTTGTACTGGATATCCATCCACTTCATATTGATTATCCAACTTTTTAATTCAAAATAAGTTGGTTATCCATCTTCTTAAACTGGATATCCAATGTGTTAGATTAATTATCCAACTTCTTTGTGGTGGTTATCCAGTATTTTTTTTCCTTGCTCTTTTATGAAAATGATTGTCAAACTTTTTTGTACTGATTATCCAATTATTTTCTATTGATTATCCAAATTATTTGCAATGCTTATCCAATCATTTTTTCTTTCTTTCTTTTTTTTTTTGAAGAGTAAATGTCAAAAATATGATTGGATAACAAGTACAAACATAATGGATAATCAGTCCAAATCGGTTGGATAATTAGTAGGAACACAACGGATAACCATTTTTCAAAGAAAAACAAAAAACACATTTCTTTAGTTCTTGTTATTCATTTTGTTTGTACTAGTTATCCATTTGGTTTGTACTGGATACCCATCTATTTAGTTTGTATGCCTATCCAACTCGTGCGTACTGATTATCCAACGGATTTACATGCTTATCCAAATTGTTTGAACCGGTTATCCACTGTGTTCATTCTGATTATCGAACTTGTTTGTACTGAATATCCAACTTGTTTGTATTGGATATCCAACTTAATTCTGCCCAAAGAAATTTGATCATTTTTAAGTTGAAAAAAAATATTGGATATGGATCTTGTTGAATAGATCTCAACAAGTACTATAATTTTCATGCATAACACGTTCTCTAATTCTTTACGGATTATGAGATATGGTCATTTAAAGATTAGAGATATTTTTTAAAGGAGAAAGAAAAAAAATCACAGGGACTAAACTTACAAATCATAAAAAGATTGATGAAAAATACAATAAGAACTCCTCGTGCAAAAAATAGGAGGGGGTACGGTGCCCCCGGGTATACTGGATACAGACTCTATGCAGAAACCTCAAACGAAAAAGACGTTTAAAAAAAAAAAAGCTCCCGCTTTCAAAAAAATTATTATCCAGTTTGAGATTTTACTTTTAATATAATTTGGCCTAAAAATGAAAATTTAACCCGAACAATAATATCGGGAGTAATAATAATAACAAATACCTCTCTTGGAAATGAAACATGGAAAGGGCGCATTTTGAATCCAATTACAGGGGCGTACGGAGGCAGCGGAATCTTGGAGAGTGCGAAGATGGCGGGCGAGTCTGAGGCTAGTGGAGCGGAGCATCTGGCAGGTGCAATTTGTTTAAGAAAACGAAAGACGTATAATAATGGAAAAAACGAAGGAACACGAACAATGGTTAGTAGACTGTGATGTCATGCGTTTGGGCCGATTTGTTCTCAAATTTGGGAACGAATGGAGGTCAAATTGGAATTATCATTAGTGCTAGTACTGAAATGGATGTCAGTGCAATAAATGCGGTTTTGACATAATTAGGGGTTTAATTAATCCTTTGGCCATTAATGCTGTAACTTTCCATTTTCGCCTGTTTTTACCAAAATTGGCTCTAAAGCCTTGTAAAACGGGCAAATAGTGCGTGAACCATATATGGGGGAAGAGAAATTGGAATAATTGAGTCCGAAAAAAAGGAGTCCACACGCGCATTTATTATGCATATCATCAGTTTAATTACGTGATCAAATGTTATCCCCTTTTTTCCTCCAAATTTTAATTACGTGAATTAATTCCTCCAAATTTTCCCCTTTTTTTAGCACATGTTTAATTTCAAATGTTATCTTTTTTAATGCTTATCATGTTAGCTTTTAATTGGGAATATAATTGGAACAGGTTCTTTTATAAGAATAGAAAAGATTGATTTTATTTTGGTAAAATTGAATATGGTTCGTTATCTAAACTTTTGAGTATAAGTTTATTGATGAATATACATGCTAAGGTAATGCGTAATGTATGATTATTGATGAACAGAGTGTTCATTGTTGTTTTTTGACTGATGGTGTATTATATTATTACGATTTTACGATGAATATCTTATGTTAACTAATGAATAACGAGTTGTTATTGATGAATAACAGAAGTTTTGCTAATTGGACGATGTTTCAACTATGAGGAAGAGGCTTTTGTTTCTTATAATTCTTAGACAAAACGCATTGGTTTTTTCAATAAACAAGTTCAAAGATTGGAAAATGTCCAAATCTGGTGTTGTATATTGGAAACAATTTGCATGTAGCAAACAAGGAGTAAAAAATTCAAGAGGTAGGTGCGATACAACAATGAATAATTACACCAAACTGATGAATACGACAATTTTAACAATGAATGGTTATACCAAACTGATGAATAACCCTCTATATCAATATCTACACTTATTGTGGTTTGATTTTTTGCAGATTCAGATATCCTGCTTCTTTTGGATTCTGAATGTTGTTCTCCGCTCATGCTTCTTTCAGATTGTATCTGATATTCATTGCTCATGCTACAATATATTTACAAATTCCATGAATAACTTGTCAGATGTGATAAATCTGGTAATTTCAACAATGAATAATTATACCAAACTGATGAATAATATAAATATATAGTAATTTATCCAAAAAAAAATACTACATAGTGATGATAAACGATGAATCTGAC